TTTTTTTTTTTTTTTTTTTTTTTTTTAATACAGTACCCTATGCTATGTCTTCCGCGGCAAAGCCGCCAGCGGTGACTCTTGTCTTTCTTTTTGCCTCCTTGAAAAAGCCCTGCCATGTGCTGGCTATTTTAAGTACTTAAGACTGAAAGGGCAGCAACAGAAAGCCATTTCTTTTATTGGACACTCCCCTTGGCTCTACTCCATCCCCGATTGCTGCTCACATTTGATAAGTAGTGCATTCCAGTGATCTGTGGTCAGCTGCAGTGACGTTTGCTCCCTCCCTGCCTTCCTTTTTCGCTCTTCCCCACCCACGCACACCTCCAACTCAGGCCACCTCGACTGCATCCATTATTCATCCACAGCCCTCGCCGCTCTGTGCGCCCACATTTATTTCATTAGAGAGTCTCCGTTTAACCTCCTGGCGCACGAGGAGCACAAAATCGAATCAGCTGGCTGAGTCTAGCACTCACGGGGACTGTGCACAGGTTTCGCAGTTCCCACCCTGGAACCAATCAAGCAGGAGCCCATCAGCAAACAGATAGCCTTACATAAGGCAGCTGTGAGGCCAACTATCAAGCCCGGAAGGCAGATCACAAGGCGGCAGCTTAACCCACGTGCTGGAGCCTCCTCCATCAGGCCCTGTGAGAAGCAAAGCAGACGTCTGTAGTTAGGCGTACATTTTGTGCCAGCCGGCGCGCACATAGGTATAGAATACCAAAATACCCAAACCAAAATACTTAGCAGAATTCATGCCATCCCAGGGGAATGCAGAAATATGCTTTGCTTCTTTGAGATTCCTTCAACTCTTTATTAAAGCTAGTTGTGTGCTGGAGAATGGCGATTTAGCTCATTTGTTTCCTTACAGGGAGGCACGTGTTTAGTGACTGAGGCGAGCCCGAGCAGCTTGGTCTAATGAGTGTAACCTAAATTAGTCTTTCCTGCTCCTTGGGTGAGCTTCCTCACTTGGCTACTCAATGAAAAGAAAAGAGGGCATCTGCATCGAAAAAAAAAATTGAATTCATCTGTGATAACCTGGCTCCCTGTATTAAGGCTGTGACTATACTTAAAGAAGTCTGCATCTCGGAGATTTGGTTTGAGGAATGAACGGGCAAGTAAAACCTCTCTCCACCTGGAAAGAAACTGTGATAAGAAAAGAGACTGGAGTGGAAATCATTTTTTCATCCCACGTGATTTGGGATGATTTTAAGTAGGTCATCGCTGCTCTGCTATGCATTCAACTGATGCTCATTCAGCTTTGGGCAATGATAGCCATGATTGAGCCTTGCTTTTAAGTGGGAATCTTTTTTTTCCTACCAAGAAATCATATACTTATATTCGGAGAACAAGTCTATTATATATGGATCTTGTTATATAGTTAAGATAGGATCACATTGTAGAAAGGAAATAAGTAGAATTTTAAGAGGCAGAGAAACGAGGGAGGAGAGGGAAGGAGGGGGAAAAGTGAGAATCTAGGAATATTTAAGGACTGGAGAGTAAGTCTCCCTCTCAGAAAAAAATGTCAATTCATTGTTGATAACAGCCAGTTGGAGAATGCTAGAAAACTAAGGCCTCCTAGGGGGCTGATGGAATCTAGGGCTAGAAATAATCCAGCTGTAGCCAGCCCCACTGGGAATCTTTGCTAACAATAATGTAATGGAAAGTGTCTCTGATGTGAGGGTGACAGAAATGAAAATCATGTGGAAAAAGGTTGAGGATCCCAAAAGAAAAGGAGAAAGAAATGAACCGATTCACTACAATGAAAGACACCAAATACATATTTAAACATGAGCCATGGAAAATCCCAAAGAGGACAGTAAACTCAAGAATAAAATGATCACCCATATCCCTATAAAAACCTATGAATCACCCCATCCCAAACTATATAGAAGAAAAAACAGTTCTTCATTAATAATGGAGAGATGTGTCATTGGCAAGGTCATTATGTGCAGTCATGAATCACAGATCTAAGGGTCTACATCTTTCTTGTGATTAGCCTTCAGGGATGCTTGTTATATGTGGGTGGGTGGCAGCTGGCTTTTGGTTCGATGGCAATACTTTCAGTATATTTGACTAGTAATTTCTAAAATCTATCACAACGACTTCCAAAACCTGAGTTCTGAATTGTGTTCAATGTGCAAAGCTCTGGACCTCTCGACGAGCTGCCTTTGTTGTAGCTGTTGCTATTGAAGATGATGGTGACCTTTGTTGTTTTGTGATAATAAGAATGTACAAATAAGGAGACAAAGAGGGTATATGTTCTGTACACTGCTGCAGTTTCTGGAAAGAAAAATAATTTTATAAAAGGTTTTGCTGCCATCTAGTGGCCATAGTGTAGAACTGTCTTATTCTGCCGAAATTCATTCCACTAAATGTTAAAATGCCTTTTACACTGTGCAGAATGCAAATGGCTAAAATACTAATGGTACATTTCAAAGTGATAAGTCCCAGTCTACTAGAGGAGTCAGCTGCTTAAATTTTTACAGCAAAAATTATGATTTAAATAAAACCATTAACAATAATAGTTAACATGTAATGTCTAGTATGTGCCAGACATTAACTAAGTACTTTACATGTTTTAACTCATTTAATGTTTTCCGTAATCCTGCAAGGTCCTATTTTAACCACACTTGGTTAAAAAGGGAGCTGAGCTCACAGAGATTAAGGAACTATCCCAGATCATACAGAGTTAACTACTAGAATCGGGATTTAAATGAGGCAAACTGGCCCACATCTTCTCTCACCATTGTATGTTCAGATGATAAACACCACGGAAGGAGTGCCAAGAACATGACTAGAGGAACTGAACCATGCCAATGAAGATGTAAGCAAGAATTTAGAGGCGAGAGGTCTGATATATTTTCAAGGTAGACTTGGAAGATGGTACTTCTAGGATAGGCAAATTGGGAAGAGGTGATCAAGACACTGAGTTTTGAAGTTGACTTAGTGGAAAAGAAATGGGTGAAGATAAATCTCCCATTTCTACAATACAGGGTTAGAAGTCATGGAAATTAAATGTTTCGACCCAAAATATGACTATTTAGAAACAGTCCATGCACATTTAGTACAACCGTTCCTTCATATTGTGGATGGTGCACTCAAAGAAGATAGTCTTATACTGAGTGCGGTAGCACAGGCTTGTAATCCCATCACTCTGGGAGGCTGAGCGAAGATGATCATAAGTTCAAGAGCAGCCTGAGCAATTTAGTTGTTTAAGGAGAACCTGTCTCAAAATTTAAAAGAGGTGGAGTAGGGGATGCTTGTGACTTAACTCAGTGCAAATGCTCTGGGTCTAATCCCCCGTTCCACGTACAAAAAATAGTACTTGACTTTGTAAAATTTTCAAAGTTTTGAAGTAGAAAACATCTATCACATGCTATACCTAGAAATAAATGCTCATGTTTTTTCCTGTGGAGTATACAAAAAGTGCTTAATATGGGGCCCTATACGTTATATCCTCAGGTTGCTCTTTCACAGAACTTTACTAAAGCTAGAGGGAACTTGGAATTCAAGTACTGTATTCCAATTTTTCACTTCACAAATAAAGTTCTGTCTAGTCAAATGAATCATGATTGAGCACTACTCTATAACAAGGAACTGAGGAAGTCATGGTGTGTGATAGCAGTGTAATACAGAGTTCTTGTTCTCGAGAAATTTACACTGAGTTCAGAAGATAACAATTGAGTGTACAAAGCAGTTGCTCCTCTGGTCTGATCAGAATCCATTGTCTTTCTTTTGGTCACGGAAGCCTCAATTTCTTTGGGGAAACCATCCCTCCTTCACCCCCAATGCTTTATGTGAGGCTGACCTCAGGCCCCAAGAGACACAGCCTAGCCCATAACAGTAACAGCCCATTTCCATAGTGTCAGTAATTGAGCTAGAGATGAGCTCATGACATAGCTACGCCAATAAAATTAAAGAAGTGTCAGTCCAGGAGTTTTTCTGAAATTTTTTCTGATTTTTTAAATTAAGTGCATACTTCAAATTGTTTCTTTAAACTTGAAGTTCAATATTGGATGTTATTGGTCCTGTATTTTTTTATCTGCCTGGTGCAAAGGATATCCTTTTAATCTTAAAATATGCCCTTCCTCTGAAATACCTTCTCTTACCTGTCATCTATAGCTTTTGAGATTCAGCTGAGATTTCAACGTCTTCACAGTGTTTTCTCTTCTGATAATGCCAGTCTGGAGTGATTGCCCCCAAGCTTCCAGAAATGGTTGCACTCCAGGTAAATTTTTAGCTCTGTAATCTGTAGTTTATTCAACAAATTTATATTTTAAGGAATATATTTTTTCATTTCAAAGTACTGTAAGTCAATTCTTTTTTTTTCCAAGTATGGCTGGTCTTTATGGGTAATGCCTTAATATTTTATGTTTTTCTTTTTGTTGTTTGTTCGTTTTTGAGACAGAGTCTCACTATGTAGTTCAGGCTGGCCTTGAACTCTCTATGTAGCCCAGGCTGGCCTCAAATTCAAGGCTATCCTCCTGCCTCACAAGGTTACAAGCAGGGATTACAGGCAGATGCTACCACGCCCAGCCCCTGATATTTTATCTTTTTAAAAAATTACTAGGTAATTTTAAAGAGGACTTGGGCTGTGAATCACAATTTCTTAATACTATGACCAAAGATTGAATTTCTCCACAGGATTCCACAGTCATTCAACAGTGCTATGTTTTCCTAAGGAGGTACGAGATTCAGAAAAAAAATTATGTGTGGACAAATTTCATAGTATACATTTAATAATCTCATCTGAAGGACTTGAGGGTTTTATCCAGCTCTTTGCTGTGTTTGGCTGCCTTTCACTAACAGTGGCATGTAACCTTATGCTTTTTTTAAAATGGTGAGTTCATATTTAGCAGGGCTTTATCTGGATGAATCTTTCATGGCTTGGGGTTAGGGGTGTGACTTCCTAAAAGATTGTCATTTGCTTCTGCCCAGGGAATCACTGCATGGTGACCATTTTTTACATTCATTTTATGAGATGCAGTTTACTGGTGCTTAAAGGGAGTATCTATTTGAATTACAAATTCAGCTGAGAGCAGAAGGTCCCAGTCTTTCAAATGAGGGCCAACAGAACAGAATGGTTGTCTTCACTGTATAGACTGAGATCTGAGTAGAATTTGCTTCTGTTCTACCCTTTTATTGTGGCAGAGCCCTTTGAGAATCATGGATTTAAAAAGTCATATCTTTCTGGCTTTGCCCTGGCCTGAAGTGTATTTGTTCCCATTTGGCACTTAAAACTCAATCCCCTTGGTTGCAGAAAACAGACAAACCTATCTCCACTCAACTCTGAGCAGCAGAAGATTCAATTCCACCCTTACAAGTCTGCTTTTTTCAGCCTTCCTCTTCATTTTTGGTTATTGGAGGGAATTCCTTTAATATCTTTTTATCTCAGCTTGTATTTAAAATGGATATTTGTTACATTTAATCCATTAGTTCTCGTTTTGTTGTTGTTGTTGTTGTTGTTGTTGTTGTTGTTTTACATTGGCATGGTTAACAGTACCCGATATACTGCATTCTAAGAACTGGATACTCACATTTGATTTGATAGCTACAAAGTGAAAGATCTCCTATTTTTTGCCTTTATCCATTATTCAAGTCTTAAGAGATTTTTTCACACATTTTGTCCTCAAATAAAATACTCAAAAATGAAGCCAGGAATGGTTTCTCACAGTTCTTTTCATTTCTAATAATGCTTTGCCTAGCAGGGCTCCAGATGATTTGATAAAAAATAAATTATTTAAAAATATTTGGGTTGAGCACAGTCAAAGCAACAAATTGATTAAATGCAAAACTGAGGGGCTGGGGATGTAGCTCAGTGGTGCTGCACCTGCCTGGCAAGCACAAGGTCTTGAGTTAGATCCCCGGTACCAAAAAGAAAAGCCAAAAAAAAATGAATATTACAAGATTAATTTTTCAAATATTGATAATTTGACATACATTCAAATATTTAAATATTTATGGATGTAAATAGAATATTGAATGAGACATATATGGTGTCTCCCTTTATGGAGACCACAGCACACTGTGGATTTACAATCCTTTATGCATTTTAAAGCATACTTGCTAGAAGTCTGAGTCTTCACACCCGCTTTTTATTTATAGTTTATTTTTATCTACTTGCTCCTGCTATGCTACTTTGTAAATGCCTTACTGAATTGTCTCTAGCACTAAATACATTGTCTGGAAGTGAATTAGCATAAGAATTAACATTTATAACAGCCAGTCCATGTTTTTATAACTTCTATGCAACCTAAGATAATTGCATACTTTTGAAAAACATTTATACAAATAATTTTGTCTGGCTTCTCATTTGCCTTTTCATCCTTTAAAAAATTAATTTCCAAACATCAGTGTTCATTTACTTAGCGTGTTTTTACCATCTTTGCACAAACATTTAAAAGTTTCCTTAGCCGTATTTGACATTATGTAACCAGATTTTGTACGATGTTTGCTGTCAGGATTGACGCTGTAATTAATACAAAGTACATGAAACCACAGTGTGAATGCAAGGACAAGCAAGTTTAACATTGCTTACAATGCTGGCCTGAGGCAGATCAAGCTAGCGCCTGCCTTGCTGATAGATGGGAGACAGAAATCTCTCCCTGGATTTTAAGACAGAAAAAATTAGAACTAAAAAGTGATCCTCATATGACTGTAATGGGCTATGGGCCATTAGTAATCAATGTTGTCATTTGTAGTTTGAGTTCACTACAAAAATAAATAAAACCTCAATTTTCTTCCATGAATGGCTACTTTTCCAGCTGATACACAGGCCCTCAATTAACAGGGAATTTTAAAAGTAAATAAAGGGATAAAAATAATTCCTATTCTGAAATTGTGCACAAATGCTCAGAAGTACACGAAACATTGCAAAAATAACCCCATGGTGTTAATTATATGTTTAATAAGTGAAAATCAAGCATTGAGAATAATCGCAACAATTTGCATTCAACAAAATGTCCTGGAACTGCCTAGTAATAACAGCTAACATTTATGAGCTGCAATAATATTGCCCATCCCACATACACCTCTTGTGATGAGCATTTGACTCTTCCATTAGGAAGTGGGGATTTATAGTTCTCCCTTTACATCTGGGCAGCCTTGTTACTACAGCAGATGTGGTGCTCTATGATTTCTGAGGCTAGGTTTTAAAAGGTGATACAGCTGCCACCTGTTTCTGTTAAATTGCTCACTCTTGAAATCCAAGCACCGCGTTATGAGGAAACCAGACTGGCCCACTTGGGGAGACCACCCGGAGAGGTCATGTGTAAATGTTCTACCAGACAGCCTCTAGGGGGAGTCCTAGAGCATGCAAATGAAGATGCACCCACAGGATTGTAGACCCCAGCTATGGAGCCAAACCTCAGCTTAAATGTTCCAGCTAAAACACTGCACCATCTCTGCTGTGCCCCATCTGAATTCCTGACCCACAAACCCATGAGTGTAATAGAATACTTGTTTTACACCCCTGTGTTCGAAGGTGGTTTATAACACATTAGTAGATAATAAAAAAATGGCCCAAAGGATAATAGATAGAATCAAAATATAATTTCAAGCAGCACACACATCTCTCTACCTGCTTTGTCTGGAAAGAGAGATGTCCTGAGATCAGTATCTACACAAATTTCTTGGCAGTGGCTAAAGATCTGAGTAGGTAAACTGGACCTGAAGGAAACAAAATTGGAAGACAGGTGGCAAAGTTTGGGAAAAGGGTGGATGGAATGATTCCTTTGAGTGGGCTATGTTCTGCAGCCCATTAGGCTTGCTTCTTTTTTTTTCTCATTGAGATTATTGGTATTTTTTAAGTATACAGTACAGTTACATTTATCATTGGGATCTTGTACCTTTGCATAACACATCTTGGTTCTCATTTTTTCCCCATTCCCCTGCCCTCCATTCACCCCCTCCACCCCTCGCCTGTTTAAAAAGACTTTGTTTCCATTTTTTCCTTTTCTCATATTTTTTTTCTTTTCCCTTATTTCCTTTCCCCTACCCTTCCCACTTCCCCTACACCTTTAGCCCTTTTCTTCCTATTTCACATTGTCAATTATACAATTTGGATTTTATTTACACTTTTAGTTTTTCACACCAAAGAAACTATTCAGTATTTATATATGTGTGTCTTATTTGTTTCCCTTAAAACTACGGCCTCAATAGGCATCCATTTTCCTATGAATAACTCTAGTTTCTCCTTCTTTACAGCTGAGTAGTACTCCATTTTATAGAAAAACCACATCTTCTTTATCCAGTAGGCTTGCTTCTTTTTTAAGGATCTGGTTGTCCTCTGAGGGGAGGTGGGTAGAAATCCTCCTGATTATATTTAGGTTGAACTACATAAAATTGTCAATATTTAACCATTTTGACTTACAAAATAGCAATTTTATAATGGTTCACCATGAGATCTAGGAGATTCCTTTTGAGAATGGACAAATAGAAAATCCAATAAAAAATATCAAGGCAATTTATTACTCTTTGTGTATGGTGCCCAAGATCAATTCAAGAGCTAAATCAGTACAGTTCACTTGTGCCATTATTCCATGAAATAATCTTCTTAGTTATATTAAAAACCTGACTATAACATCAGTGCAACAGAGCTTCAGTAAAGTTTAGTAACGTAAAAGAATGGAGGAACATGAAGTGAGAAAGGATAAAATGACTGCTAGAATTTAAAGAGACTTATTCTTCCATTATAAAAGACATACCTGATTGCTTTACTAAATTTAAAGAGAAATTAAAGAGAGTGAAGTGAAGAAGAGGAACTTACCCAGGTGAGTCACAGGCAGGATGGAAGGGGTAATTATAATGCTATTTTTTATTTCTTTTCTGAAATGTATCTCTGAAGATAATGCAAGTTTACAGCATGCAGTACTTTGTTGCCCCTTGACCAAGAAGAGCCTTTGAAATGTGCCAAACAATGCTTCACACCAATATGCCAAGCATCCAGCAAAGCGTATGGGCTGGGAAAAGAGATGCTCTGGATTATACACAGTCATGCCACATTATTGTAGTTTCTTCCCCTCACCACTTTCAAACTTGAAACTCAAATACTATGTGTTAACCAATGTTCTAGAAGATGGTGTAACAGAGGCCACATGTTCTGCCACTGGTCCTGGATAGGAAGATTCACTTAAGATTCGGACAACCTGAAGAAACATGAAGCTGTGTGAATGTCTGACATTTCTTTACTATCTCAGTGACATGCGGACCAAGGCTGAAAAATCGCACTCCCATGCAAAGCAGATTCATTGCCCAACAAGTTATCAAACACAGACTACTCATTTACATGTTGCCTGAGCATGTGCAGACACATAACATATGCCAACTCACTAGCAAGTGGAAGGCCTGGGTGAAAAGCCTGAGCCTAGCCATCTTGGGTACCTGGACCACACATCCCACCGCACTTGGAGGTTTTCACTTCACAATCTATCAGTGAATCTTCTGTGTGGTTCATTTGGTGAGAAGTATGGAGCATTGTACCCATAATCCACAGCAACTCATAGGCTGCAGGAACAAGCCACTAATTAGCAGGCACTCCCCTCCCAGAGTGGCTAAGGAGTAACACCATTGTGAAATTAGAGACACTCACCATTCTTGCAGGGGATTCCCATCAATGCTGGTAGAGTTATGGTTTCCTGAAATTGGCATGTTTATCAAGTATGAAGACCCAAGATTCGGGACCCATCAGGGCAC